ACTCGCTCTAAACTTGAAGGTTCCCTACACGTAGCGAACTTATTTGGTATAAAAGTAAATGTTTAAAAAATATAAGTTTTGAATTTCAAATAATATAAGTAATACAGAAAGGAAAAGTTTTGTAAAAAAAAAAATTAAAAAATTGTTCCTCTTCATATCAATTACATTATTTGGCATCCAAAACTTATATTTTGTAAACATTTGCTTTTATAACAAAATAAATTCGCTACGTGTGTTTCTTTATATAGAAATATATTATATGGGATCCTGATCAATTGTCCGGATGTATGAATGTGTGTATGTGTGGATCCTTTTTTGCGAACACGATAACTTTACCAACTTTTCATGGATTTATATAAATTTTGGTAGGCTTATTTATCATATTAATACAGTAAAAACCCATTTATCCGAAATAATAGATGCGTGCAGGCTGTTGTCCAGATAATCGAAATTACAAAACACACAAATTTTATTTATATAATCTTTGATATGTATTTATTTGCAAACATGAAAAAAAGAAATTATTATAGATACTATATAAAGAAATACATAAATATTCATTAAAAATTATTTCACAAATGTTTGCACAAATATTTTTTTTAAATTTTTAAATAAAAACGCTCTAAATTCAGGAAAAAATACAAAAAACGAAATGAAAAACTATATCTCAAAATGAGCACAAGGATTATAAAAAATACCCCAAAAAACATTTTATCGTCTTTTGTAATAGCAAAATTTGAGGTAACATATAACAAAATCTAAATTTTTACGTCAAGACGAATCGATTGGTATATATATATATGTGTGTGTGTATATATGTATTTAAAGTATAGATTTGATTTAAATTTAAAGAATTAATGAAAATTTTAAAAATAAAAAATTCACATTTTATCTAAAAGAGTGTTCCTTTAAATTCAAATTTATACATAAAATATTGTATTCCTTGCATTGAAACGAATCGACTGGTAGGAGAGAGTGGGGCAAAACCGGGTACCTTTTTGGAAATCTCGGTTTAAAAAGAATCTATAAAATTTAGTTCAAATCTCGTTGAAAATTTTTCATTGAATATTAGAGTCCGTTAGATAAAAATTTATCATTTTTTTCGAAAATTATCAGTTTTTTCTTGTAAACGCTATGATAATCAACTTCAATCGTTCTCACTATATTTGTTTTGTAACCTACACGTAAAAATACGTAAAAATGTGTAAGTTTAAATCCCTTAAGATAAAATTTTCTTTTTTTTTTTTAAAAAAAACCCATAATTTTTTCTAAAAATATGAGTTTTCCTTAAAAACAATATGATCATCAACTCCAATCGTGCTTGCTATATTTTTCCTGTAATCTACATGCAAAAATAAGCATGTGTACTAAATATGAACTGTCTTGGTTCAATAATGTGTGCGCTAGGAGGATTAAACGCTTTTTTTCAAAATTTTTTATTTTTCCTTGATAAAATCGTTTGGCCAATAGGGAGGGAGTACATGTCTTGCTTCACTAGTCTAATTAATTAATTAATTTCTGAAAAGAAAGACAATATTTCTAGTTACATTACCGTCGGATATGATAAGACCTCTGATTCTTCAATTATTGTAAAAGAGTTTACATCTTAAGAGGTGTTATACTTGTTTTGAGGCTTAAAAAAGGGTGTTTTTAAAGATTTTTCGTAAATACAGTTTTAAATTATTATCGTTGGCAACTAATATACCATTTGATTAAGCAACTTTAAAGATTAAGAAAAAATATTAAACAATTTCCACATATAAAATATTATAAATTATAACATTACAATATTTCATGATATACAATATTCTTCACATATAACTTTTCAGGAAATTCTATATTTTTATATATAGCAGAATCAATAGCATGAATTTTTAGATGTTCCTTGGATTTAACTCTAGAACAACCAACATAAATTTGACCATGACCAAATGTTGAAATTGGTAAATAAATTCCTACTCTATCAAAAGATTGTCGTTGAGATTTATTAATAGTCATGGCATAAGCAAGTCTAACAGGAAATTGTCTTCTTACCATTTTGAAAGGATATGTGTCTTGAGAAGGAGATAAATCAATACGTGGAATAAAAACTATTTCACCTTTAGATTTTCCAGAAATTATTTCTGCAGAAATTACGTTTCTCAATAATGATTTTACAACTAATCGAGTCCCATTACATAATCCTTGAACTAAATTCATATTTCTCAAAAGCATAATTATACATCCTACCTTTAAAGATAATTTATGAGGAGGTAAACCATCTGGTGTCAAACTATTTAAAAATTCTATTGGAATAATATTATTTACATCTTTTGGGTCGTCATCGACATGTGAATCAACACTATAATAAACTACTTCTTGTCCTTCTAATTTTAACAAAATACGTTCATTTAGATCTAACACTTCAGAATTAGTCAATGAAAGTATGCATGATGAGTAAACAGATACATCATTTTGATTTATTGACAATCCATATATTTCATATATTAAATTTCCGCCAGAAATCAAATCCTGTGGAATTTCTAAAACACCGTTCTCTTTTTCAAACATAGAATGAGTTTTACCGTCACCAACATTTAATAACCAATTTGAAAACTCTTCCTGATTATTATCCAATCTAACATTAACATGTAAGGACCTAGTTTCAAAAAGATCCCACAATCTACTATTTTTCACACATACCTCAACAATGTGAGTGCGACTGCCATGCGAAATAATTGGCAAAGTTTGTCTAAAATCTCCTGAAAGCAAAATAACTTTACCGCCGAATGGTTTATTACATTGTGTTATATCTCGCAACATAGTCTCCATAGCTTGTAAAGCAAATTTAGGTGCCATCGTAATTTCATCCCAAATTATAATTTTGGCATTTTTTAAAAGTTCAGCGTGTTTTGACATTCTACTTATATTACATGTTGAATCTTCATTGATTGGAATAGGAAATTTAAAAACTGAATGTGAGGTTCGTCCACCTCTTAAAAGATTAGCTGCTATACCAGTCTAAGCAACTGCTAAAACTACTAATTCTTCACTTTCAAGAGTAGCAATAATTGTATTTTCTAAATAACTTTTACCACAACCACCAGGTGCAGAAACAAAAAAGTACCTATTTTTGCAATCATCATTATGTATTGCTGCCATGACATCATCAAAAATTTTGCGCTGATCATTGTTCAAACTTTTAATAAGTACTTCACTTTCTTCTTTGAGCAATTTTAATGATAGTTCATTAGCTTTCTTGTCGACAGAAATATAATCGTCGATAATTTTTTGATCAATATTTGGTAAACCAAATTTATTTAGAGAAAATCCATGAAAATTAAGCACTTCATTAATTAATATTAACGCTTTTTGAGTTGCTACTTCTACAGGTACATTATTATCAAAAACCATGTGTTCTTTGTACTTATTCCATAAATCAATTGCATTCACAGGCAATCCAAACACACATATATATGCAAATAGACGACAAAGTTCTTTAGGAAATTTCATGCTTACAGCTTCAGCCAAACAATTATCCCATTCACTATCATCTACTATCAAATTTCGTGCACGCACTGCTTCTACAAAAGTATTGTATGTAATACCTTCATATGTTCTTACATCTTCAAATGATTTAGCACCACGTACATAAAGTAGTAAGACTCTCAAAAAATATCTTTCAACATCTTTCGGACTTACAAAATACATGCGGCAAATTATAGGTTTGGTAATTCGTTCCCTTATTTTCCAAGTTTTTGATGATTCAACGAAAACATACTTATGTGGTATTTCTGTGTACAAATACTTGCGTGCTTCAGGATTTTCTCGATTTAATTTGAACCATGCTGTTAATGTCGTATTTTTAAATTTATTAACTGCTTCTTCTTCTAATCCTTCTTTAAAACATATTAATTGCTGATTTGGTAAATGTACAGCTAATCTATAAGTTGTATGTGATTGTTCATGCATATTGAATTCGAATAATCTGTGCATAGCTTCTGGTGGACATACATAACGTGTGTTTAAATAATTAACAATTTCATCATATTTCATTTCCTCATTATCATCCTTATAACCTATTATTGCACAGTCATGACCTTTATACATATATTTGAATAAATATTTAATGCCATCCGTACTACCACATGGTATAACACAAATATGACCTTCAAATTTTTTACTCAAATACAGATTATATGGTACGATCATCGAATTGTCAGCGGTACATTTAATTGACCCATCTTTGTTATAAAAAATGATTTTTTTACCATCATTTCTTCGCCTGAGTTCCGGATAATTCTTAGAACCATAAGTTGTTTCAGAACAAAACGGCTTTGGATAGTTTTTTGTACAAACTTTCTTCTCAGGGTCCATGCAAGGTGAATTCATATTTTCTTTTCCACAAGGCCCATGAACTTGAAATTGCTTTACAATCTTAAAAAGTTCTGGATTATTTGTTTCATCTGGAATTTCAGCACATATCATTTTATGTAAAGTTTCTGCATCGCGAATTGGATTACGTAAAAATATAATTAAATGCACATGTGGCAATCCACGCTTTTGAAATTCTATGACATAAACAAAAGCAAGAATTGGTCCAAAAATTTCTTTTTCTTTTATATCTTTCATTATCTCTTTCACTTTTTGTTGAAAAACTCTAGTCACAATATCCGGACGATCAGATGCAATTTCAATATCCAACAAATTTTCTGTAATCTCACGCCACTTTGGATTACATGTCATGGTAATAAATAAATTTGGTTTTCCAAATTCTTGAACTAATCGCATAGCATCCATAAAACATTGTTGATAACAACGTGGCCTTCCAATAAATGTCGAAGGTAAAATATTCATTTTTTCAAGTCGAACATTTTCATTTTTTGCTTTATTGCGAACATAATCCATTAATCCACAATACAATTCCGCTCGAAGTTTTTTTTGTTGTAAACGAATGTATTTTAAACGTTCACCTTCTACTTTCGACCAGACATCAACTACATATTGTTGAGTTAATTTTCCTAATTGTAAACATTGATTAAAAGTTCTTCTACATGCAAGACGATACATATAAAATTGTAAAGGAGTAACATTTCGAGTACCTTGAGTATGCTTAAGGTTAACAGTCCATCCAGGATCACCATGAGGAAAAATTAAAGGATATGTCATGGGATCAACATTTTCGCTAAGACTAGATATTGGAATACTCTTTAAACCTTTTGGGTGTATACATATATCACGTTCCATAGGAGGTTCACCATCTTCGCTAACAAATACAAGTGCTACTTCACTACAAGATGGAACATTAAATTTGCTTTGATTCAATGATCTATCTCGTTTAATCCACATTTGAATATTCCTTATAGGCTCATTTTTAGATTTTGCTAGTGCTTCTTCTTCTAATTCTACCTCTCTCATCATTTTAAAAGCTTTAGCATAAGGATTAATTTCCCTTAATAATTTATCTATTTCTTCCATTAATGATGATAAACATTTCTTATTAGATTTATTCTTTAATCGTTCAAGTACTGCTTCATTAGTGTCAATAATGTACAACTGACCATATTTTCGATTGTCATCACCATCGGGATGAAGGGCATATGTATTATGATACACTTGTCCATGTACACGATAAATATAAGGCCCATTTCCTTTAGGAATTTCTAATTTTGCTCCTATGCTGGCGAATGCTAAGGAATTATTATAAGAACGAATATTTTCTTTATAATTTTTACCTTCAAAGCTTGAATCAAATAACAAAGTTTTTAAATAAAGCGGATAAGGATTTAATACTTTCAACTTTACTTTTCCCTTGTGACAGCAACTATTAAATAATGTATCTGACGGCCTTTCACACAAAAAATGTAACGCACTACAAAACTTACATTCTACATTCATCAAACCTAAATAATTCTGTGAAACTTTACTTTCAACGAAATCTTCAAAGGACATAATTGCTACTCCTACAGTGTCTAACTTTTTTTCATTTTTCTTATCGTTTTTACATGCCAAATTCTTTTTTTGACGCACTTTCTTTTCATCCTCAGTTTCTGTATCTAATTTCTTCCTCTTACGTGACAAATCTTTTTCTTTGTGCACTTTCTTTTCATCCTCAGTTTCTTTAGCTAATTTCTTCCTCTTATATGCCACATTTCTTTCTTTGCGTATTTTCTTTTCATCCTCAGTTTCTGTAGCTAATTTCTTCCTCTTACATGCCAAATTTTTTTCTTTGCGTATTTTCTTTTCATCTTCATTTTCTGTAGATAATTTTTTTCTCTTATATGCCAAATTTCTTTCTTTGCGTATTTTCTTTTCATCCTCAATTTCTATAGAAAGTTTCTTCTTTTTGCATGTCAAATCTCTTTTTTGGAGTTCTATTTTTGGAATTTCTGTTTCATTACGATTATCTTTTGTCAGTCTATTATGCTCTTCTATAATTATTTTCTGCTCATCATATTTTCTTGCACAAAGTATTTTTTTATCATTTTCTTCACTTAGGAAATGCTTCATTTCTAAATATTTACGTGGTGAAACTTTATTTACATTATTATTAGTTGCACCAATTCTTTTCTTTTCACTTGCGTCATTCAAAGAACGTTTAATTTCTAAATGTTGTGTTGATATAACTCTATTTGCATTATTATTTATAAAACTGTTATAAAAATATGAAGGGTTTAATCCACCAGTTTGAAGTTCTGCAGCTCGATTTATTAAAAGACAATTCCAATCATCCTCTACAATTGAATTTCTAATAATTGACGATCTCACTGAGGGGAAAGGATTCAACCGATTATTTTCAAAAATTAATTTCAAATGTTTTCTCATTCTATCATTATCAGTTTCATAAATTACACTGTTTGGCATTATGTTGAAAAATACAGATGTTGAAAATGCTATTGCATATACTCTACACTCAACACTTCCAACCGGTTGTTGATCAACAGCTACAAAAACTACTGTTGGTTTAAAAGGGAATAATCTAATTAAATATTCTATTTGATGAATATTCAAACACCCTGCATTAAGGCTATCAAAAATATAAAGTCTTACTCCATCGTAATAAACACTTTTATGTTCGACATGGTATCCTCCTTCAACTTTTAAACTACCGATAAAGTCACTTTTCAAAACAAATCTTTTATTTTAGTTTCTGGCTTTAAAAAATGTACTTATATGTGTTTCACCTATAAAATATTTCATTAACTATTATTCAGCTAACAAATGCAACAATGATAGGCTTATATGAATGTGAATTAGCGTTGTTTAATCTTTTTCCACATTACATCATTTTCTATAATGATTATTATTTAACTTATTTTCCTCTGCTCTTTTTATTAATATTCAAATCAATATTCAACTCACAAACTATTATTTCACCCATAAAACCACTTCAACCCTTAAAACAATATTCAACCCTCTTTCTTTCTATTTCAATACTTTTCCAAAAGCCAGCATCCACTATTATCAAACAGTCAATATTTTTTTCCAATATCGAAATATATTCAATACTAATGTTATCTTATATCATATTTTATTATCCTCAAAATCCAAATATCTTTAATGCCAAAATTATCCAATACCAAAAAATTTTTCCAAAAACCAACTTCCACTATGGTCAAATAATCAATATTTTTTTTCCAATATCAAAATATTTTCTTTTAATACCAAAATATTTTCAATACCAATGTTATCCAATATCTTTCTTTATCCTCAAAATCGTAATATCTTTAATGCCAAAATTATACAATACCAAAAAATTTTTCCACAAGCCAGCTTCCACTATTATCAAACAATCAATATTTTTGTTCCATTATCAAAATATATTCAATAATAATGCTATCCAATATCTTTCTTTATCCTCAAATTCGTAATATCTTTAATGCCAATGTTATCCAATACCAAAAAAAAATGGATTAAAGTATTTTTTATATGAAATTTTCGATAATGATTATTATTTAACTTATTTTCCTCTGCTCTTTTTATCAATATTCAACTCACAAACTATTATTTAACCCTTAAAACAATATTCAACCCTCTTTCTTTCTATTTAAATACTTTTCCAAAAGCCAGGATCCACTATTATCAGTCAATATTTTTTTCCAATATCGAAATAAATTCAATACTAATGTTATCTTATATCATATTTTATTATCCTCAAAATCTAAATATCTTTAATGCCAAAATTATCCAATACCAAAAAATTTTACCAAAAACCAACTTCCACTATGGTCAAATAATCAATATTTTTTTTCCAATATCAAAATATCTTTAATACCAATATCATACAATATCTTTCTTTATCCTCAAATTCGTAATATCTTTAATGCCAATGTTATCCAATACCAAAATAAATTAATGGATTGAAGTATTTTTTATATGAAACATTTAAGACAACCAAAAGAAACAAATATCAAACAGTCAATATTTTTTTAAATAATAATAATATAATATAATTTAAGAAGATTAAACACATGCACTAAGTTATAATATAATATCTATATAATAATCAAGTTAAGTTACCTGAGACTATTAGAAGCTTTTTTTAGCGACACTACTGCAATGTTGTTGCAACGGTAGACGGTTGCTCTATGTTTATCTTACATCAGCAGTAGCCGTTTCACTCCATTGAGGAGAAGTGTTATACCCCCACTCTACCAATCTGGGCCTATATTAAGTTCTCGCGAGTGGCAGATATTACGGTAGGCCTGAGTGGCGTCCTCGGGGATAGGTGTTGGTAAGTTAAGTATGAATACACCACTTCCACTCACTGGGATTAAACGGTTATCATCTATATCGCATATACAATAATAAAAAAATTTCCCTCAACCCAAGACTGTTAGGACGAATCGAGCGATCACGGATTGGGTCCTGAAAAAGGAAGTGGTATATCCTCACTCTATCGGTCTGTCCCGGGCTCAGACCTCGAGTAAGTCAATTACAGCGTGGGCCTGTATGACGTTCTCGGGCTTAATGACAATATTATTTTATGACGCTTAATGAGTTTTTCAAAAAAATTATAAAATTTTTAAATATAAACACTGTTTAATTTATTTTGACATATTCGTTTTCCTCAGAAGTTCACGATTACGATCATATATTGCTCCAATAATAACACAGGCACAAAAAATAATTCAGGTCCCAAAAAACACAACCCCATATTCCTATGTTTTTGGGGTCGCTGAAACCGAATATGACCATGAACAACTTTTTTGACGACCCATTTTCCCGCAACCACCCCTTGCACCTACTCACGGGGGTTGGAGTTTCAAATTAAAAAAAATTGAGTATGGTGTCTATTCCAATGTTTTTTGGGTCGCTTCATCCCAAAAACACCATTGAAAACAAATCCTTCCTTTCCTTAACCCCGTACAACCCTCTGGGAGGGGGTTAAAATTTTAAATTTCACAAAAAGTCAAGTTCGGTGTCTAATCCTACGTTTCTTGGGGCGCTGAAATCAAAAAACACCACCAAAAACAAATTCTTTACCCCCTTAACCTGCTAGAACCCCTGGGAGGGGGTTGGAATATCATTTTTCACGGTGCTAAGTGTAGAAAAATAAATTTCCTTAAGACTTTGTAGGTGCGTATTTGTGTAATCATAGGTAACTTTCTAGAAAACTTTATTGTTGGTGATGTTTTTTGGTTTCAGCGACCCAAAAAACAAAAGATTAGAGACCGTACTCGACTTTTCGTGAAAAATGAAATTCCAACCCCCTCCAGGGGTTGTAGGGGGTTAAAAGGGTAAAGAATGTGTTTTTGGTGGTGTTTTTTGATTTCAGCGACCCAAAAAAACATAAGATTAGACACCGTACTCGACTTTTTGTAAAAATTGAAATTCCAACCCCTTCTCAGGGGGTTGTAGGGGGTTAAGGGAGGAAATGACTTGTTTTTGGTGGCGTTTTTCGGTTTCAGCGCCCCAAAAAACATAGGATTAAACACCGTACTCGACTTTTCGTGAACAATGAAATTCCAACCCCCTCCCAGGGGTTGTAGGGGGTTAACCCATTAACGCTCAGACGGACGAAAAATTGATATTGACTTTGAGGATCTCGTTCTTTTAAAAAAGTCTTTCCAAAAAATCGGCATATACCATTTCTAATGTAAAATTTATTGCTCTTTCAGAAACTGGGGTCAGAATTTGTTTATAATAAATATTTAAATAGTTATAAACAATTTTTTCCAAAAAAACACGATTTTTCGAGAAAAAAATTTCTTTTCAACCATACTTTCACCGGAAAGTCCGTCTGAGCGTTAATGGGTTAAGGATTTGTTTTTAGTGGTGTTTTTGGGATGAAGCGACCCAAAAAACATTGGAATAGACACCATACTCAATTTTTTTTTAATTTGAAACTCCAACCCCCGTGAGTAGGTGCAAGGGGGTGGTTGCGGGAAAATGGGTCGTCAAAAAAAATTTTCATGGTCATATACGGTTTCAGCGACCCCTTTCATTACAGTATTTAAAAGGTCATCGACCATCTTATGAACCCTCAACCAAAAGCTGTTTTGACAACAAAAATTTCAGGTAGAAACCTTCGAGAACCCTAATTATCAAAGTAAAGATATAATATGTATATATAATCTAATTATAATGAGAAAATTCAAGTACTAAGAAAATGTGAATGACTGACGGAATGAATACAAAGATTATTATACTATAACTAGCTATAACAAACGCGCGTAAACGCGCGTGAAATTTTGGTGTTTTGTTTATAATCTTGAAATCATCATATTTATTAATATATTCCAATTAAAACATTCAAATTTCAAACACTTATACAAAATATAAATACTGATCCGGTGTGCTATTCTGTAATTTCTCTTCACTTCACTTTAAAGGACCCCGCACAAAATAGTATAGTATAGTATAGTATAGTATAGTATAGTATAGTATAGTATAGTATAGTATAGTATAGTAGTATAGTAGTATAGTATAACAAACATCTAAAATTACTAAAAAGATATTCTGCTTTTTGGTATCAAAAATATATTTTTAAACATAAAAAACTTAATTTCCCCTTTTGAATTTTATTTTCACTTTGAAAACTTCGAGTTTTAAATATTTAATTTCATTTAAAATTCAGAAAAAATTGCAAAAATTTTAACGCAATTGTTTATAGATGCTTGAATTTGGGTAAAATTTTCTCAAAAAAATCAATGTTGGTCATGGGTTTTACCGGGCATTGAAGTTTTGAGTATAATTTTTTTCAAAAATGCATAGCTCTGAGACGTTTTAATCGATTTTGTTCATATTTATGTGACTAATAATTGTTTTATTGATAATTTTAATGCAATAGAAAACAAAAAAAAAAAATTCGGAAATTGCCCCAAAAAAAGTAAAAAAAAATTTTGATTCCACTTTTTCGGGCATAAGCACCCCTTCGATTTTTTTCTATTCATGATATTTAAATTCCTTATCTTCTCCTGAATTTTTTCAAAAAAAATTGCTGGAGACTTTAAAACTAACTAAAGTATTCAACTTTTTGTCCTGCAGCGCACGTATTTTGTATTTACACGAACGCGTCGAGCCTGAGGTCCATGTGCCGGACAATCCTATTTTATTTTTGATTTCTTAATCCTTACTATTATTTTGATTATGAAGTTATTTATACACATACTTATTTTATACTAAAGAAAAAATATGAAATAAATAATTACTATTGTTATAAACATTTTATAAACAAAGTTAACCACCCTGTAATTATCATTGTGGAAGATAAACTTTTACAAGGGTCAATTTTTCTAAAAAAAATTTAATTTAAGTCATGGGTCTTTCAATTTTTTAAACTTGGAATAAATATAGTTTTTATGAGAGAAAAATTAGGAAAAAAAATTTTTTAAATTGGAGATTTTTCCGGTCATCAAACATTGAAGAACAATTTTTAAAGGAAACATTTTTATGCATTTATAGTTGGATTTTATTTATATTTTAGGATATAATAATAGATTTACTAACAATTTAAAGTGTATTATTTAAAAAAAATTAAAAATTTATTCGTGGAATAAAAACTATTTCACCTTTAGATTTTCCAACAATAATTTCTGCAGAAATAACATTTCTTAATAAAGATTTGACAACTAATCGGGTACCATTACATAATCCTTTAACCAAATTCATATTCCTTAAAAGCATAATTATACATCCCTCCTTTAATGATAATCTATGAGGTGGTAAACCATCTGGTGTTAAACTATTTAAAACTTCCACTGGAACAATGTTATTGATGTCTTTCTGATCCTCGTCTACATGTGAATCTATACTGTAATAAACAACTTCATTTCCTTCTGAATTTGACAAAATACGATCATTCATATCTAATACCTCAGAATTTGTTAATGAAAGAATGCAAGAAGAATAAGCAGATACATCATTTCGACTTATTGATGAACCATATATTTCTTCAATTAAATTTCCATTCGAAATCAAATCTTGTGGAATTTCTAAAACGTTATTTTTCTTTTCAAATGTACTTTGATGTTTACCATCGCCGACATTTAATAACCAGTTTGAAAAGTTTATCTGATTATTATTTAATCTAACATTAACGTGTAACGACCTAGTTTGAAAAAGATGCCACAATTTACTATTTTTCACACATACTTCAACAATATGAGTCCGACTACCGTGTGGAACAATTGGCAAAATTTGCCTAAAATCTCCTGAAAGCAAAATAACTTTACCTCCAAACGGTTTCTTACATTTCGTAATATCCCTCAACATAACTTCCATTGCTTGTAAAGCATATTTAGGTGCCATTGTAATTTCGTCCCAAATAATGATTTTAGCACTTCTTAAAAGTTCACTGTGTTTTGACATCCCACTTATATTACATGTTGAATCTTCATTAATTGGTATAGGAAATTTAAACATAGAATGTGCCGTTCGTCCACCTTTTAAAAGATTCGCAGCTATACCAGTCCATGCTACTGATAAAACCACCAATCCTTCACTCTCTACAGTTGTAATTATTGTATTATGTAAATAACTTTTACCACTTCCTCCAGGTCCATCGAGATAAATATATCTATTACTACAATTATCATTATGTACTGCCATCATAATATCATTGAAAACATTACGTTGGTCATCATTCAAACTTTTAATAAGACAATCAGACTTTATTTTAAGTAATTGTAATTCTAAAGCACTATTTTCCTTACTTACTGAATTATAATCATCAAAAACTTTCTGATTAATATGTGGCAAACCAAATTGATGGAGCGAAAATCCATGAAAACTAAATACTTCATTAATTAGAATTAATGATTTTTGAATCGATACTTCCACAGGTAAATCATTCTCAAAAATCATATCTTCTTTGTATTTATTCCATAAATCAATAGCATTAACAGGCGATCCAAATACACATATGTATGCTAATAAACGACAAAGTTCTTTAGGAAACTTCATACTCACAGCTTCAGTCAAACAATTGTTCCATTCGTTATCGTCTACCATTAAATTTCTCGCACGTGCAGCTTCTGTAAAAGTGTTGTATGTAATACCTTCATAAGTTTTTATATCTTCAAATGACTTAGCACCACGTACATAAAGTAGTAAAAGTCTTAGAAAATACCTTTCAATATCTTTTGGACTAACAAAATACATTCGACAAATTAAGATTTTAGTTATTCGTTGTCTTACTTTCCAAGTTTTTGAAGATTCAACAAAAACATAGTTATGAGGTATTTCTGTATATAAATATTTGCGCGCCTCGGAATCTTCTGCATTCAATTTAAACCATGCCGTCAATGTCGTGTTTTTGAATTTGTTAACGGCTTCTTCCTCTAATCCTTCTTGAAAACATATTGATTGTTGATTAGGTAAATGTACAGCTAATCTGTATGTTGCATGTGATTGTTCATGCATAGGAAATTCGTATAATCTATGCATTGCTTCTGGTGGACATACATATCGTGTATTTAAATAATATTGAATTTCATCATATTGCATTTCTTGATTATCATCCTTGTAAACAATAAATGCACAGTCATGGCCCTTATAGCAATATTTAAATAAATATTTAATGCCACCTGTACTACTACATACCATAACAGTTATGTGACATTCAAATTTTTTACTTAAATATGGATTGTAAGGTACAATCATTGAATTATCTGCAATACACTTAATTGATCCATCTTTATTATAAAAGATAATTTGCTTACCATCTTTTCTTCTTCTATATTCTGGATAATTCTTAGAGTGATAAGATGTTTCTGAACAAAATGGCTTCGGATAATATTTCGTACAAATTTTTTTTTCAGAGTCCATGCAAGGTGAATTTATATTTTGATTACCACAAGGCCCATGGACTTGAAACTGCTTTACAATATTAAATAGCTCAGGATTCTTTATTTCATCTGGTATTTCTGCACATATTATTTTATCTACAGTTTCAGTATCACGGATCTTTTCACTTAAAAATGTAATGAAATGCACATGAGGCAATCCACGCTTTTGAAACTCTATTACATAAACAAATGCAATAACTGGACCAAAAATTTCTTCATCTTTTATTTCTTTCATTAATTCTTGTACTTTTCTCCTAAAAACTCTTGCTACAATCCCACCATTTTGGATTCATTTTGGAAGTCATGGTAATAAATAAATCTGGTCTTCCAAATTCTTGAACTAATCGCATAGCATCCATGAAAGATTGTTGATAGGAACGTGGCCCTCCAGTAAATGTTGAAGGCAAAATAACAATTTTTCCTGGTCGAACATTCTCTTCTTTAACTTTATTATTAACATAATCCATTAATCCACAATACATTTCTGCTCAAAGTTTTTTCTGTTCTAAACGAATGTATTTTAAACGCTCACCTTCTACTTTTGACCAGATGTCAACTATATATTGTTGAGTTAATTTTTCTAATGCTAAACATGGATTAAAAGTGCCTCTATATGAAAGTCGATACATATAAAACTGTAAAGGAGTAACATTACGGTTACCTTTAATATGTTTGATGTTAACAGTCCATCCAGGATCACCTGAAGGAAACATTAAAGGATACGTCATAGGATCAACATTTGCACTAAGACTGGAAATTGGAATACTTTCAGAATTCTTTGGATATATACATATATCTCGTTCCATGGGTGGTTCACCATCTTCGCTTACAAATATAACTGCTACTTCATCAGATGACGGAAGATTAAATTTCTTTTAATTCAATGATCTATCGCGTTTAATCCACATTTCAATTTTTCTAGGAGGCTTATTTAATAATTTTGCTCTTGCTTCCTCTTCAATTTCTACTTCTCGCATCATTTTAAATGCTTTAGCATATGGATTAATCTCTCGAAGTAATAGGTCTAATTCCACCAATAATACTCTTAGAATTTTTTCATTACATTTGTTTTTCAATCGTTCTTGAACAGCTTCATTTGAATCAATGACATACAATTGACCATATTTACGTCTATCATCATCTTTCGGATGTAAAGAATATGTACAATGATATACTTGACCGTGAATTCGAAAAACATACGGACCAGATCCTTTTGGAATTTCCAATTTAGCACCCATACTCGCAAAAGCTAACGAACTATTATAAAAACGAATATTTTTTTTAAAATTATTACCTTCCGAGTTAGAATTGCTCAATAAACTTTTTAAATATAATGGATAAGGATTTAGTTCATTTAATTTTACTTTCCCTTTATGGCAACATGTACTAAATTTTTTGTCTTGCGGCCTTTCGCACAAAAAATTTAATGAACTACAAAACTCACACTTAACATTCATCAAACCTAAATAATTTTGTAAAACACTATTTTCATCAAAATCTTCAAAAGAAGTCATTGCAACTTTTCATATTTTTAACGTCTTCCTATTTTGCTTACTATATTTACATGATACATTTTTTCTTCGTCGCTCTTTCTTATCAACATCCATTTCCAGAGATAATTGTTTTCTTTTACTTATTAAATTTTTATTTTGACGATCTCTTTTCTCAATTTCTGTTTCTAAAGATAGTTTTATTTTTTTGCATAACAAATTCTTTTCTTCACGATCTCGTTTCTCAATTTCTGTTTCTAAAGATAGTTTTATTTTTTTGCATAACAAATTCTTTTCTCGACGCTCTTTCTTTACAATATCCGTATCTTCACGTTTTCGCTTTCTTTGTTTATCTTCTTCTTGTCGTTTTCTTTTTTGTTCTACTGTTTCTTCAAACCTTATCTTTCTTTTTCTCTCTATATCTTTTATTGCACGATTACTCTTTTTCTCATTTTCCTCATACAAGGGAAATTCGATCATTGTATTCTCAGTAGATAATACTTTGTTTTCATCATTAAGAATATGCAGAATCTTAGATTTTGTAACTAATAAATTTTCAGATCGATCATCAAAAAGACGTCCCCAATTAGGTTCGAGAATTATAGATCTTACAACAGACGATTCTTCTGACGGAAAATGATACAAATAATTATATTTAAATATTAAATACAAATATTGTCTCATTTCAGAATGAATATAATCAATATTATTTGGCAACATATTAAAGTATACAGAAGTGGCAAATGCTATTGCAAATAATCCACAATCAGTACCATTCGGTTGTTGCTGGACAGCCACAAAAACAACTGGTGGTTCGAAAGGATACAATTTACACAAATAATCTTTTTGATGATGATTCAAACATCCATTATTTACACTATCATAAATATAAAGACTTGTACCATCATAATATGTACAAATCCAATGACCAGATTCGTGCCATCCACTGAATAAAATTTGAATATGCTGTTGTTTTTTTTCAATAGGAAGAATTAATTCTAGTGTATTTAAAAGCAACGTACTTTGCATATTAAAAGTATAATTTGAAACTCTTCTCAATAACTTTTCAAATTCGTGCATATGATTATCATTGAGCATTTCGCCCTCACTGAGAATAATAGCATAATCTTTATCACTTAAATTAACGTTATTCCTTTCCCTGTTTGACATAGTTACAATATTTTATACTGTATTTGTATTTGTACTTTCTAAATCTAGTAGTATTATTAGTGTATTTTTCTATGATCTAGTATTACTTTAAAAAACTTTATTTCATTTTTAATTTACTCTTTCATTATCATTCTTAAAATTTTCATACAATTTTCATTTCCATTTTTCATAAATATTTTGATTTTAAGATCATAAAAATTATAATTTTAATATGTATGTATTCATTCCATTTTTGTACATCTCATTTCCTTTTTTTCTATATTCATTTCATTTCAATCATCAAATATTTCATTTCATGTCTTATTTCATTTGTCCAATATCATATAAATATTTCTTTTCATGTCTTATTTCATTTGTCCAATATCTTTTTTTCCATACATTATTTCATTTTTACCCATCAAAATTTATTTTCCACGTCATTCTATTTTTGCCCCTCAGTTTTATTTTTCCCATTTGCTATTCCATTTTATCCCGTCTAATTTCAATTTTTCTAATTATCCAATTAATTTTCAACTTTTTAAAGTTGTACTTCGCATTAAAAACATCTTTTCTTTTTATTGTAAATTTTCACTTAACTACTGTATTTAATTTTTCACAAATTTTTTAATCACCAACAATTTTTAATAATTAGAACAGACTATTTTTCACTAACATTTTTATAATCACGGAAACACTTCTCAAATAAAAAAAAATTATTATTTTATATTTTATATTTTATATTTTTATGTACAATTATATGATTATTAATTTTTCTAACTAACAATTTTTTTTAACAATTTGCATACATAAATTTTTTTAACAACACATTTTTTTTCAAACACTTGGTCACAAAATTGTTTAAACACACAAATTTTTTTAATTTCATTCACAATTATCACTTAGTCACAAATCTCTTTAAGAACAATAACTTTTTTATCAACTATAACACATTTTCAATTTATAAAAATCAATAAATTTTTCCTTAACGACTTTTTACACTAAAACTTTTTTTAACAATACATGGTTCTTTAATCACTCGGTCACAATATGTTTTAAACACAATAAATTTTTAATTTTAATCACAATTTTCACTTCGTCAAAAAAAATTTTAAGCACTTTTTTACACACTTTCATAGTTTTCTAATTAATATATTTAATATATTTTCATTAATTGATATTTATTTAATCACTATCATTACTTTTTATTAATTTTCCTTCGTTTTTCACAATCCTCTTCATCTGAGAGGACGAACGCAACTAAAGTAATAAAGTTTCAAAAATTAATAAATTTTTCCACAATTCAGGTACCTGGCTATAAACCCATTCTTGAAAAGGTCTTTAAATAATAGATAAATAACAACTCATTTGTTTTGATTTTGAAGTAACCTTTGAGGCAATTAACTTCTCTCTCTAACCATAATGCTTGAATACAAACTTTCCTTTTCTTAAGAAGAGACAAATCAGTTAAAGGACAACATAATATTATTCCCTCTCCTTACTCAAAACAATCAAATGCAATCTTTCCTCTTCTAATGGATAGAGCGAGCTCCTTTTTTCTCTCCCCCTCTCTCTACCCAAAGCTAAAACTTCTCTTTCTCTCTCAAGAAGAAAATTAATAAACCAATCAGTGAAAGGGCATTATTATTATATTATATTAATATATCTATATATATGAAATTTTTCTCTCCCCACTCAAGATAATCAACTGCAATCTTTCCTTTTCTAATGAATAAAGCGAGCTCATTTTCTCTCTCTCTCTCTCTACACCCTAAGGTAAAAGTTCTCTTTCTCTCTTAAGGAGAAAACAGCATGGGGCTGCGGACAGAATGAATGAATGAATGAAATCGAAGATTATTATTTAAAGAATTATAACATTACAATATTTCATGATATACAATATTCTTCACATATAACTTTTCAGGAAATTCTATATTTTTATATATAGCAGAATCAATAGCATGAATTTTTAGATGTTCCTTGGATTTAACTCTAGAACAACCAACATAAATTTGACCATGACCAAATGTTGAAATTGGTAAATAAATTCCTACTCTATCAAAAGATTGTCCTTGAGATTTATTAATAGTCATGGCATAAGCAAGTCTAACAGGAAATTGTCTTCTTACCATTTTGAAAGGATATGTGTCTTGAGAAGGAGATAAATCAATACGTGGAATAAAAACTATTTCACCTTTAGATTTTCCAGAAATTATTTCTGCAGAAATTACGTTTCTCAATAATGATTTTACAACTAATCGAGTCCCATTACATAATCCTTGAACTAAATTCATATTTCTCAAAAGCATAATTATACATCCTACCTTTAAAGATAATTTATGAGGAGGTAAACCATCTGGTGTCAAACTATTTAAAAATTCTATTGGAATAATATTATTTACATCTTTTGGGTCGTCATCGACATGTGAATCAACACTATAATAAACTACTTCTTGTCCTTCTAATTTTAACAAAATACGTTCATTTAGATCTAACACTTCAGAATTAGTCAATGAAAGTATGCATGATGAGTAAACAGATACATCATTTTGATTTATTGACAATCCATATATTTCATCTATTAAATTTCCGCCAGAAATCAAATCCTGTGGAATTTCTAAAACACCGTTCTCTTTTTCAAACATAGAATGAGTTTTACCGTCACCAACATTTAATAACCAATTTGAAAACTCTTCCTCTTTATTATCCAATCTAACATTAACATGTAAGGACCTAGTTTCAAAAAGATCCCACAATCTACTATTTTTCACACATACCTCAACAATGTGAGTGCGACTGCCATGCGAAATAATTGGCAAAGTTTGTCTAAAATCTCCTGAAAGCAAAATAACTTTACCGCCGAATGGTTTATTACATTGTGTTATATCTCGCAACATAGTCTCCATAGCTTGTAAAGCAAATTTAGGTGCCATCGTAATTTCATCCCAAATTATAATTTTGGCATTTTTTAAAAGTTCAGCGTGTTTTGACATTCTACTTATATTACATGTTGAATCTTCATTGATTGGAATAGGAAATTTAAAAACTGAATGTGAGGTTCGTCCACCTCTTAAAAGATTAGCTGCTATACCAGTCCAAGCAACTGCTAAAACTACTAATTCTTGACTTTCAAGAGTAGCAATAATTGTATTTTCTAAATAACTTTTACCACAACCACCAGGTGCAGAAACAAAAAAGTACCTATTTTTGCAATCATCATTATGTATTGCTGCCATGACATCATCAAAAATTTTGCGCTGATCATTGTTCAAACTTTTAATAAGTACTTCACTTTCTTCTTTGAGCAATTTTAATGATAGTTCATTAGCTTTCTTGTCGACAGAAATATAATCGTCGATAATTTTTTGATCAATATTTGGTAAACCAAATTTATTTAGAGAAAATCCATGAAAATTAAGCACTTCATTAATTAATATTAACGCTTTTTGAGTTGCTACTTCTACAGGTACATTATTATCAAAAACCATGTGTTCTTTGTACTTATTCCATAAATCAATTGCATTCACAGGCAATCCAAACACACATATATATGCAAATAGACGACAAAGTTCTTTAGGAAATTTCATGCTTACAGCTTCAGCCAAACAATTATCCCATTCACTATCATCTACTATCAAATTTCGTGCACGCACTGCTTCTACAAAAGTATTGTATGTAATACCTTCATATGTTCTTACATCTTCAAATGATTTAGCACCACGTACATAAAGTAGTAAGACTCTCAAAAAATATCTTTCAACATCTTTCGGACTTACAAAATACATGCGGCAAATTATAGGTTTGGTAATTCGTTCCCTTATTTTCCAAGTTTTTGATGATTCAACGAAAACATACTTATGTGGTATTTCTGTGTACAAATACTTGCGTGCTTCAGGATTTTCTCGATTTAATTTGAACCATGCTGTTAATGTCGTATTTTTAAATTTATTAACTGCTTCTTCTTCTAATCCTTCTTTAAAACATATTAATTGCTGATTTGGTAAATGTACAGCTAATCTATAAGTTGTATGTGATTGTTCATGCATATTGAATTCGAATAATCTGTGCATAGCTTCTGGTGGACATACATAACGTGTGTTTAAATAATTAACAATTTCATCATATTTCATTTTCTCATTATCATCCTTATAACCTATTATTGCACAGTCATGACCTTTATACATATATTTGAATAAATATTTAATGCCATCTGTACTACCACATGGTATAACACAAATATGACCTTCAAATTTTTTACTCAAATACAGATTATATGGTACGATCATCGAATTGTCAGCGGTACATTTAATTGACCCATCTTTGTTATAAAAAATGATTTTTTTACCATCATTTCTTCGCCTGAGTTCCGGATAATTCTTAGAACCATAAGTTGTTTCAGAACAAAACGGCTTTGGATAGTTTTTTGTACAAACTTTCTTCTCAGGGTCCATGCAAGGTGAATTCATATTTTCTTTTCTACAAGGCCCATGAACTTGAAATTACTTTACAATCTTAAAAAGTTCTGGATTCTTTGTTTCATCTGGAATTTCAGCACATATCATTTTATGTAAAGTTTCTGCATCGCGAATTGGATTACGTAAAAATATAATTAAATGCACATGTGGCAATCCACGCTTTTGAAATTCTATGACATAAACAAAAGCAAGAATTGGTCCAAAAATTTCTTTTTCTTTTATATCTTTCATTATCTCTTTCACTTTTTGTTGAAAAACTCTAGTCACAATATCCGGACGATCAGATGCAATTTCAATATCCAACAAATTTTCTGTAATCTCACGCCACTTTGGATTACATGTCATGGTAATAAATAAATTTGGTTTTCCAAATTCTTGAACTAATCGCATAGCATCCATAAAACATTGTTGATAACAACGTGGCCCTCCAATAAATGTCGAAGGTAAAACAATCATTTTTCCAAGTCGAACATTTTCATTTTTTGCTTTATTACGAACATAATCCATTAATCCACAATACAATTCCGCTCGAAGTTTTTTTTGTTGTAAACGAATGTATTTTAAACGTTCACCTTCTGCTTTCGACCAGACATCAACTACATATTGTTGAGTTAATTTTCCTAATTGTAAACATGGATTAAAAGTTCTTCTACATGCAAGACGATACATATAAAATTGTAAAGGAGTAACATTTCGAGTACCTTGAGTATGCTTAAGGTTAACAGTCCATCCAGGATCACCATGAGGAAAAATTAAAGGATATGTCATGGGATCAACATTTTCGCTAAGACTAGATATTGGAATACTCTTTAAACCTTTTGGGTGTATACATATATCACGTTCCATAGGAGGTTCACCATCTTCGCTAACAAATACAAGTGCTACTTCACTACAAGATGAAACATTAAATTTGCTTTGATTCAATGATCTATCTCGTTTAATCCACATTTGAATATTCCTTATAGGCTCATTTTTAGATTTTGCTAGTGCTTCTTCTTCTAATTCTACCTCTCTCATCATTTTAAAAGCTTTAGCAAAAGGATTAATTTCCCTTAATAATTTGTCTATTTCTTCCATTAATGATGATAAACATTTCTTATTAGATTTATTCTTTAATCGTTCAAGTACTGCTTCATTAGTGTCAATAATGTACAACTGACCATATTTTCGATTGTCATCACCATCGGGATGAAGGGCATATGTATTATGATACACTTGTCCATGTACACGATAAATATAAGGCCCATTTCCTTTAGGAATTTCTAATTTTGCTCCTATGCTGGCGAATGCTAAGGAATTATTATAAGAACGAATATTTTCTTTATAATTTTTACCTTCAAAGCTTGAATCAAATAACAAAGTTTTTAAATAAAGCGGATAAGGATTTAATACTTTCAACTTTACTTTTCCTTTGTGACAGCAACTATTAAATAATCTATCTGACGGCCTTTCACACAAAAAATGTAACGCACTACAAAACTTACATTCTACATTCATCAAACCTAAATAATTCTGTGAAACTTTACTTTCATCGAAATCTTCAAAGGACATAATTGCTACTCCTACAGTGTCTAACTTTTTTTCATTTTTCTTATCGTTTTTACATGCCAAATTCTTTTTTTGACGCACTTTCTTTTCATCCTCAGTTTCTGTATCTAATTTCTTCCTCTTACGTAACAAATCTTTTTCTTTGTGCACTTTCTTTTCATCCTCAGTTTCTTTAGATAATTTCTTCCTCTTATATGCCACATTTCTTTCTTTGCGTATTTTCTTTTCATCCTCAGTTTCTGTAGCTAATTTCTTCCTCCTACATGCCGCATTTTTTTCTTTGCGTATTTTCTTTTCATCTTCATTTTCTGTAGATAATTTTTTTCTCTTATATGCCAAATTTCTTTCTTTTCGTATTTTCTTTTCATCCTCAATTTCTATTGAAAGTTTCTTCTTTTTGCATGTCAAATCTCTTTTTTGGAGTTCTATTTTTGGAATTTCTGTTTCATTACGATTATCTTTTGTCAGTCTATTATGCTCTTCTATAATTATTTTCTGCACATCATATTTTCTTGCACAAAGTATTTTCTTATCATTTTCTTCACTTAGGAAATGCTTCATTTCTAAATATTTACGTGGTGAAACTTTATTTACATTATTATTAGTTGCACCAATTCTTTTCTTTTCACTTGCGTCATTCAAAGAACGTTTAATTTCTAATTGTTGTGTTGATATAACTCTATTTGCATTATTATTTATAAAACTGTTATAAAAATATGAAGGGTTTAATCCAGCAGTTTGAAGTTCTTCAGCTCGATTTATTAAAAGACAATTCCAATCATCCTCTACAATTGAATTTCTAATAATTGACGATCTCACTAAGGGGAAAGCATTCAACCGATTATTTTCAAAAATTAATTTCAAATGTTTTCTCATTCTATCATTATCAGTTTCATAAATTACACTGTTTGGCATTATGTTGAAAAATACAGATGTTGCAAATGCTATTGCATATACTCCACACTCAACACTTCCAACCGGTTGTTGATCAACAGCTACAAAAACTACTGTTGGTTTAAAAGGGAACAATCTAATTAAATATTCTATTTGATGAATATTCAAACACCCTGCATTAAGGCTATCAAAAATATAAAGTCTTACTCCATCGTAATAAACACAAATCCAATGACCAGAATTGTTATTACCGCTAAAAACTATTTGAATATGTTTATCTCCTTCTCTAATTGGAACAATTAAATCAAGCAATTGTAAATACAAAGTACTTTGCATAATGAAAAAAGAATTTGAATCATTTTTTAATAATTCTTGAAATTTATACATATGCATATCATTTAACATTTCATTTACATTTTCAATAATCTTAAAATCTTCATTACTTAAAGTAAAATACTCTTTTATGTTTGACATGGTATCCTCCTTCAACTTTTAAACTACCGATAAAGTCACTTTTCAAAACAAATCTTTTATTTTAGTTTCTGGCTTTAAAAAATGTACTTACATGTGTTTCACCTATAAAATATTTCATTAACTATTATTCAGCTAACAAATGCAACAATGATAGGCTTATATGAATGTGAATTAGCGTTGTTAAATCTTTATCCACATTACATCATTTTCTATAATGATTATTATTTTACTTATTTTCCTCTGCTCTTTTTATTAATATTCAAATCAATATTCTACTCACAAACTATTATTTCACCCATAAAACCACTTCAACCCTTAAAACAATATTCAACCCTCTTTCTTTCTATTTCAATATTTTTCCAAAAGCCAGCATCCACTATTATCAAACAGTCAATATTTTTTTCCAATATCGAAATATATTCAATACTAATGTTATCTTATATCATATTTTATTATCCTCAAAATCCAAATATCTTTAATGCCAAAATTATCCAATACCAAAAAATTTTTCCAAAAACCAACTTCCACTATGGTCAAATAATCAATATTTTTTTTCCAATATCAAAATATTTTTCTTTAATACCACAATATTTTCAATACCAATGTTATCCAATATCTTTCTTTATCCTCAAAATCGTAATATCTTTAATGCCAAAATTATACAATACCAAAAAATTTTTCCAAAATCCAGCTTCCACTATTATCAAACAATCAATATTTTTGTTCCATTATCAAAATAGATTCATTAATAATGTTATCCAATATCTTTCTTTATCCTCAAATTCGTAATATCTTTAATGCCAATGTTATCCAATACCAAAAAAAAATGGATTAAAGTATTTTTTATATGAAATTTTCGATAATGATTATTATTTAACTTATTTTCCTCTGCTCTTTTTATTAATATTCAAATCAATATTCAACTCACAAACTATTATTTAACCATTAAAACAATATTCAACCCTCTTTCTTTCTATTTAAATACTTTTCCAAAAGCCAGCATCCACTATTATCAATCAGTCAACATTTTTTTACAATATCGAAATATATTCAATACTAATGTTATCTTATATCATATTTTATTATCCTCAAAATCCAAATATCTTTAATGCCAAAATTATCCAATACCAAAAAATTTTACCAAAAACCAACTTCCATTATGGTCAAATAAGCAATACTTTTTTTTCCAATATCAAAATATCTTTCATACCAATGTCATCCAATATCTTTCTTTATCCTCAAATTCGTAATATCTTTAATGCCAATGTTATCCAATACCAAAATAAATTAATGGATTGAAGTATTTTCTATATGAAACATTTAAGACAACCAAAAGAAACAAATATCAAACAGTCAATATTTTTTTAAATAATAATAATGTAATATAATTTAAGAAGATTAAACACATGCACTAAGTTATAATATAATATCTATATAATAATCAAGTTCAGTTACCTGAGACTATTAGAAGCATTTTTTTAGCGACACTACTGCAATGTTGTTGCAACGGTAGACGGTTGCTCTATGTTTATCTTACATCAGCAGTAGCCGTTTCACTCCATTGAGGAGAAGTGTTATACCCCCACTCTACCAATCTGGGCCTATATTAAGTTCTCGCGAGTGGCAGATATTACGGTAGGCCTGAGTGGCGTCCTCGGGGATAGGTGTTGGTAAGTTAAGTATGAATACACCACTTCCACTCACGGGGATTAAACGGTTATCATCTATATCGCATATAC